GAACGAAGTATGTCTGTGGGGAGTGAATGCGAGATCTAAAATTTCTTTAAATCTCTCATAACCCAACAACAAAACGAAGATTAATAGTGAACAGAGATCAAGAATTAACCACCGAACGAGAACTACAACGGCCATCGAGAATCAGTAACATGGTCAAGACATAATTCACAACATATAAACGAAAGTAAATAGAGTGAAGGAATGGCCAGTGGTGCTCGATGGCGACAAATATTTGGTAGACCAGTTCGCCCTTCTGCAAAAAGACTACGTCTGCTTGGAGGGGTTTGTGATTGAACATAGAAGATAAACTCTCTTCGTCCTATTTCTCCTTGACAACTGATTCGTTAACCAGTGCCGACCACTCATGGTAGATACTTGAAGCGATCTTCGAAACTTTACAGATTTTGTCTTTGTGAATCACAATTATTCTTAGTCACTGAAATAGTTGACACCTAACCGTCTATAGAGTTCGCAGCTCTCAAGAATAATTGGCGGAGCGTACTGGACTTAGATTCTAGTGATGCTAAACCACTGTTTATTTTTTCGGCTCTTGAGTTTTTATCTTAGTGGATTTTAAACTCAAATCACTCAGAGAGGGGTTGCTCACACAATCTTCTTCAAATCACATAGAGCAACCAACGGTGCACGTTGGATGGGATGAACTATTTATAGCCGTGGTCTTCTAGATGGGAAAAGACCATTTTGGACATGACCATTCGGCCAATGCCTAACCGACACGTAACCAACGTGCATATTTTTTTAGCACAACGATGATATTACTTGTGGAGCACGTAATGCTAACTCCTCAGTCCGAATCAAATCTATCGCAGCGAAGAACTTCGTCTCTTCCCGACGAGTATAAATTCGGATCACAAAGAGATTTATCGCAACTCACATAGATTTTGGTTTAGCATTAGAGTACCGGAAGTTTCGAACACTATGCCCCTCTTAATAGTACGATGGTTCTATGACTCAAGAAAGAGAAGAAAAACAAAGAAATAAAATAATACGTCTTTTGTCGTCTTCCAACTTCTCGGCTGCAGTCAATTTCTTCGGACACATATCGAACCAATTGCTTTGCGTCAAAAAAAATTGGAGGGTCACTTTTGACAGGCATAACCCTCGGTGATAATCCTCGCTGCCTCGTAGGAGATTATCTTCGGAGTTTGTTCCAAACTCCACATGACTCTAGGGACTTGTCACTCCGTGTGCACTAGCAAACACATTAGTCCCACTGTTTATGTCAACAATCTCCACAACACAAGGAGGCAAATTATTGCACCAACAATCTCCCCCTTTTTGGACGATTGTTGACAAAACAAATAATCATCGGAATAAGGGTAGATAAGTGAATAGTATAAAACGAAAGTGAACAAGTTTTACTTGTCTTGAAGATAAATGGGCTTCCCCTAAATGTATCCATGGATATATGAGTTCATGTTCATGGTGAAGCGAAATCCATCAGATATGGAGCCATCAGTATTAACTCCCGCGCGGAGGGCAAATGGTGTATATGTTCATATGATAAATCGTTTGATTTTCAAAGGTCGAGTGCTTGGTGCGAGGAGGCCCAGAGTAATCACGAATCTTCTCAGCGTCCATGGTGAAGTGAAATTCATCATCAATGATAGCATCAATGTGGTTGACGGTGTCCTGGATATGGGGGTACTAACCCAGCCGGCCCATTCTCCTCGGGTTGGGTCGGCAAGCTTTCATTCGTGATCAATATGGACGCCGAAAGCTGTACGCAGGAGGCGTGATCAAGACTGCCTCCCCCAAATACTTGACGTATACTCCAAGATCTCTGCCACCGCCTAGCTGTTAGGACATATTTCCCCCTAAGTGATTTTGGTGTGATTGATGACAATGTGTTTATGGACTAATTGTGTGCATTGAGTATTTCAGATAATCGAGCATATGGCAGAAGACGATTTGAGCCCCTTGGAGCTTCAGAGTGAAGACGACTTTCTTTCCCGTATTTCATTTTCAATGGACTTGAGTTGTAGGAAAAACCGTACTACCAAGAGGGGGTCCGCTTCGGAAACTTTTGGGTTGAATCATCATGTACACACTCATATTGCACCCTAGTCATCTTTCCGCTTTTATGGAGTTGTCCCTTTATTCTGCAGAAAAGGTTGTGGAGAGCTGCCAGCGAAAGTACCACGAGCTAGTTCCGCTCATACCCCCGCCCTCTGCTCGGGTCCCTTTTTCGTGTCGGGTTCTATGGTAGTCCAGCAGTAGTCCCAGCAGAGCGAGCGGAAGTAGAAGCGGCAGTACCGCCTCTAAGCGGTAGTATCGCCCCTACCATCGATGCCACTGCTGCTTGGTGCTTTGCTCTCTCCTCGGGCCTTTGCTTTCCTCTGCGGTAGTTGGGAGCGGTAGTCCCGGCGCTAAGCGGTAGTACCGCCCACCATGGGCGGTAGTACCACTGTGGTCGTTCTACCATAGTCCTACCTATGCACTGTAGCATTACAACCCCAGCAGTAGTACCGCTGGGGAGAGCAGTAGTACCGCTCCGGCAGCACTATTGGCTCCTGGCCCAGTGCCATTGCACTTACTACCGGTGACTATCTCCTGGGCAGTAGTACCGCTCCTGGAGTGGTAGTACTGCTTGTGTGCGGGCTGACGGTTGCATAACGGTTAGATTTGTTCCGCACTATATAAAGGGGGCCTTCTTCCCCAAGAAGACCTACCTCTTCCTCCCCAAACTCCATTGTTGCTCCAAAGCTCATTTTCGCCCGATCTCTCTCCCTAGACAATCAAACTTGATGATTTTATAGGGATTGGTTGAGAAGGCCCCAATCTACACTTCAACCAAGAGAAATTTGATTGCCCCCACTAATCCCTTGTAGATCTTGTTACTCTTGGGTTTTTGAGCACCCTAAATGGTTGAGGTCACCTCGAAGCCACATTCCATTGTGGTGAAGCTTCATGGTGTTGTTGGGAGCCTTCAATTCGGTTGTGGAGAGAGCCCCAACCTTGTTTGTAAAGGTCTGGTCGCCGCCTTCAAGGGCACCACCAGTGGAATCACAACATCTCGCATTGTGTGAGGGCATGAGGAGAATACAGTGGCCCTAGTGGCTTCTTGGGGAGCATCGTGCCTCAACATCACTTCAATGGAGACTTACTTCCTCTCAAAGGGAAGGAACATCGGTAACATATCCTCGTCTTCACTGTCTCCACTTATGGTTATCTCTTACCTTTACTTTGTGCAAGCTTTACTTGTGTTGTATCCTTTGTTTGCTTGTGTTCTTCGTGTTGCTAGTATCTTATAGGTTGCTCACCTAGTTGCACATCTAGATAACATATTTTTTGCTAACCCTAATTCTTTAAGAAAGGTTAAAAATTGGTAGTTGCCTATTCACCCCCTCTAGTCAACCATATCGATCCTTTCAATTGGTATCAGTGCCTCATCTCTTTATTAAGGGTTTCATGACTCGTAGAGTATGGTTGACAGAGAGGAGGAGGTGTCGAGGCCGTGAAGTTGAACTCGGTCACTTGAGATGACTTAAATGAAGCTATGGCTTCACTTAAACGTCTATGACGACCGAGGTCAAGTCCATGCTTAAAGAATTACTTGAGCGGTTGAAAACTTCTACCGATCTGTTGCTTGTGGTTAATCCCACCACATCGGAGTCGGAGGCCAATTCCGGCAAGGAAGCGGCTAAAGGCACTCAAACCACCTCCCCTCAAAACAAGAATGGGACGGGAACTTTTGCCTCGGTTCCCCCTCCCCCGGTCTATGGAGGACCGTGATACGTCTCCAACGTATCTATAATTTTTGATTGTTCCATGCTATTATATTATCTATTTTGGATGTTTAAT